CACGCTTATAATTTTATGAATATTAACTAATTCTAGATAAATATTATTACATTCATTTTTTGTTGGAATTCGATTAGAAACTAATTCAAATAGAATTTTTGAAATTATTTCAAGCAGATTTCGAAGAATATTTTCTTTTTTATTTTCTAATTCACATTAAAAAAAATTTTCTAAAATTCTTTGATACTTCATTCTTTCCAATATTGATTATTATCACTAAGAAATGTTCGAATAAATAGACATAAAGCATTTGTAAATTCGTCGGATGGTTTTTCACATTTAGAACGAATTACTTCATGTTTCAATATCATATAATAAAACTCTACTGATTGATCTTATTTGTTTTTTTTTCGACTTTTAAATAATTTCCATATATTTATTTCGGATGTCATTGAACTAAAAAATAATTTACCTATTATTTGAGATAGCACATTCACTTTTATTTATTTCTTTTTTTTTTGGAGTAAGGTGATTTTCATATTAGCTGGACATATTCGATCAGATGTTTGGTTGATATGTTGCAGATCGTGAGTTGAACTATAATTTCGCTTCCTCCAAGGTCATCCCTCGATTCAACAATATCGAGGAATAAACTTGAGAGAAAAATTAACGCTGAAATCATGATCTACAAAGTGACCACAAAATGTCTGATCAAATATGTTATCCCTAGTTGTTATTCAATAGAATTTTTATTTCACAAAATGAATTATTTTATTCTTGCTGGGAAATGTGTTTTTTTTAATTATGTATTAAAAAACAACGGTTCTATTGACTTATTGATATCATGTAGAAATTGCAAGAAAATATTCCTTTGACAAATGTCATAGACTATAATGATGAAGAAAACTATATTTATTAAATAAGAGCAAGTTAACATAAAATGACGCTACAAAAACAATGAAATTATCTTCTCTTGCTTTATGTTTTCATTAAAAAAAATGGAAACAACAATAAATCTACTGAAATGCTTAGCAAAATTTTATAATTTAGTTTAGTAATTTCCTTGGAAAATATTGTTTTTCTTCTTCTTTAAATATCTTCAAGCTTTTTTTTTTGATGAATAATATCTCTTCGAATGTTTCATTTTTACAAAAGATATTAACAAACACGAATGTTCTGAGCACAGGAGAAAGGTTCGAGAAGCCACCCACCCTTCAATCTTGAGAATTTTCGATCAGGAAAGTTTTTAATGAAAAAAAATAAAGATTTTCAATTGAGATTAGTTGTATACAGATCAAAAAGTTTGATTTGTATACAGTAGTTCAGCGACAAAGAACAGAACACAATGATTAGTTACAATCGAATGAAACTACTAATACTCCCTATTCATTCTTTTCATATGAACTGAATATGCTGTCAGAAATCTAAAATGGGACAATTTTTATGTTTCGTAACAAAATAGAATAAAACAAAAGGATGAATGAAAAAAAAAGCAAAACTGAGACAAATTCAATTAATTAATTTTTTTAAATAAAATTTTTTTTTATTTGAGAATAAGTAATTCATATTGATTGAAGTATGGAAAAAATTTTTTTTTCTTTTGGAATTTGTACAACAGAATATTTCAAATTTATATTTTGAACATCTTTTCTTTTCATTTGCTTATTTAATATCGAAATTTCACTCTTTTTAAGATTTTATTATATAAATGTAAGTAAGGATAAAAAAAACACGTATATTTATTATCTAAAAAGTATGTTCTTACTCAAATATGATTCTTTATTTTTTCTTTCTTTTCTTCGATTTCGTCATTTGTGCTAGGTAATAAACGATGTTGTATTCCTACACTCATTTTTTTTTCATTTGTTCTCTTCTCATTTATTGTTGGTTTATCTTTTTTACACATGTATTTCTCCTCTAAAATTTTTATCTGTTATCTACATGCATTTATAAATTTTATTGAAATATTTTTGAAGAAATTATTAACAAGATTAACCTTGTCTTATTAAATAGTCGACAACTATTTTCATGAGGGTTTTAAAATGCTATTTTATTTGTTATTTTATAATTTTAAAAAAAGAACTGAAAGCTTCGTTTTTCTAGATGAATTTAAATATTTTATGTAAGAATATTTTAAAGTTCGAATCATTGTAAAAGAAAAATAGCTTAAAACATTAAAACGATATATTTATTTGATTTACTGAATCATTATTGATTGATTAGTCAGTCAATAAACAAAACCATTGTTCACTTTTATCAATAATTGCAATGTGCCATAAAAATAAGATAAGAAAAAATTGTGACGTGAGAAAGATATAAAATCTATATAGATTCAATTCTCTTGTGTTTGTTTCAGTACGATCACAAGAAGAATTTTATCCAAAAAAAAAAATTCAGAATATAGTTCATGTTCTAAAAAAAAGGAAAATTATAATAAGAAATATATTTTTAAAAATGAAATATATTCTGTTTGGTTTGCTTGAATAGGTGTGAGTGTACATGTGAAAGATGCAAGTGAAGCTCTACTTCTCATGAGCACTAACACCCACTTGCTTCTACTGTTCTCATCATCGATCCTTTTCCAACTTTCAGTATAGACACTCCACACATCGAACGGATATTCTCTACGACAACTGAAAGAAATTATTTCTGTTGAATTCACATTAAGAGAGTACGTCTTAGTTTTCCTGGCACAATTTTTTCTCACCAGTCAGTAGCGGACCTCGGGTTTTTATATTTGAGATGATTCGATAAGGTGGGGAATGATGATCATGAAATGTGTTTTGAACCTCATCATAAGTACTATCAGCTCATTTGTAAGCCTTTTTTGCTAGAAAAAACAGAAAAATATTTCGGAAGGAAAAGGGGGGCAGGGATGATCACTCCCAGTATTTCTTTAAATTCCCCATTGTCTCTACCATCGCCACTCATACCTCTAGAATATATAGCAAATCGAAGATTTTTGATTGATTTGGACATTCGTTTGTAGATACTCGCTTGACCAGAACCATCGATCCATCATTCGTTGTGTCCGATACTGATAATTTGTTGAATTCTGCATTCATTTATGGGATCCTGTTTGATGTTCAATAATCTTGTTTTATCATTTATTGCATCACGGTGACAGCTTTAGAATAGGTAGAACTCAGTCAAAATTGTAGGATCTTGGAATGGAGTCCAGTCTCTTTTATGTTGCACTTGATGACTTATATCAGTATAAATGTGCAGAGAAAAGTATAACGAAATGACATCAAAACGAAAGTTCCAGTAGTAATGCTTCATCAATGTCAATATGCTGATGTGCTCAATCTTTTATCCTCATTTCGATAGTAATTTAATACCTCAAAATTGATACTAATACTCAATACGTAGTTTGGCATCGATAGATGCTTCGTCAGCGCTGGCAATTGATATTCGTAGGTAGAACAAGCTATAAAAAGCCCTCTTCACTGATAGATCAAAATGATATTTGCAGTGCCAGAATGAAGTGTTTGATCGTTCTCTACTTCACTTTTATCAGTGTCTGTTAGTAGATTGTGTTGATGAAAGAAAAATATCAATAGGTTGACATTTGTACAGCGTATGATCTTCTATTTAGCGGTGATTCAGAAGTGGCCTGGAGTGCGTTGAAAGCGATCTGGGGTTCAAATCCATTGAGCAAAGAATATTTTGTTGACCAACCTCGTACAATTGCCGAAGCAACAAAACATGATTTCAGTCCTATTGACGGTCAATGCGAAGGTACATTATGAGTAGTTATGCGCAAATATTGTAATAGAAATTTTTTTCATAGGAAACCTTCTTGGGCATCATTACATGAAACATGAAGACGTTGGTGTCATTCTGATCTACGATAAACAGGGCAGCATTCCTGGAATTTAGGTGGCGGTGAGTTAGTGTCTGATTTTGAAATTTCTCACGAATAAGTCTCTAATGTTTCCTAACAGATTCCGGCGCGAATGATCACCGACAAGTGGTACAAGGGTGGGTGGTGAGTGTTGGTAAAGTTGAAGAGGTCAGAAAGTTACACTCCCAGAACCCTGAGTCACACCTCACATCTACATCTCTTACTCTAGATAATAGCCGTTATGTTTTACAAATTAGTGGCGATGGTTCAAACTAGTTCATTACCATACTTTTACGAAAGTGACATAGAATTAAGTCTTATATTACTTCTAAAATATTGTAACAAAAAAGTCTTTGTCCCAGAATCAAAAAGAGACACATAGAAAATTGTTATTTATAAAGTATAGCTGATAAAAAAAAGTCCATAAAGTCATCGAAAATATTCAACAAAAAAATTGTGTGAAAGTCGATGTATTGTTTATTTTTTCGAATGGGATTAGACGTCCAACATTTTTCAACTGTTTTGTAAAAAATTATTAGCCGTTTTTTATTTAGACTTTTACCCAAAGTGACATGTCTGTCTACAGCAGTACAGTTCTATATGTAGTCGTTACATTGTTTCGAAACACATATACACGTACAGAAATAAATTTGAAGTCGAATTAAGATCTCACACGTCTCTTCATCATTGAACAATTACTTCTTGTATTTAGCTAGGGTAAAGGTATTCGATCTTCAGAAAATCATCCATAGCGAATATTCGAATCTCTCTGATTCATTAAACCATTACGAGCACCTATCGAACAACTCAAATGCATACAATAAAACGAGCACCCGATCTGCTTTCACATGAATCAGTAATTTGATCATCACGTTTTGTCTTAACCAAATGTCATTTAGATAAGACATCGATTGTAAAATATATAAAATGCATTTATTTCTTTGTGTCTTTACACAAAACTATGTTACACTATGCCTCACTCTTCGTCCTTCTCTGTTGCATTAGTGTCTCGCTTAGTACAAATAAAATAAATAATTCAATTGTTCAATCAACCAATGATGCTCTTAGTTATCTCAACAAATTTGGCTATAATCCATGTACTAATTCGACTGGTTTATATTGCTCCTTCGACTTGAGGAGTGTTTTGAAAGTTTTTCAAAAACGATTTCATTTAAAAGTCACCGGCGTTTTGGACGATGCTACCAAACAAGAAATGAGTCGATCACGCTGTGGTAATAAGGACCCACCGCTCAGTTTCTCGACAAATACTGCTGGATCATTAGGACTAAAATGGTCACGTTCAACATTGACTTGGTCTCTGAGAAACTATTCACCACGTATTGGTGCAGCAGAGTCACGAAGTATCATTCAGCAAGCATTCGATGCTTGGTCTCAACATATTCCATTGGATGTCAAGCAAGTCTGTTCGACATGCCCAGCGAATATTGTCATTGATTTTGGTTATAGAGATCACGGTGACGGTTACCATTTCGATGGACAGGGTGGAACATTGGCACATGCCTATTATCCTGAAGATGGTCGAATACATTTCGACATGGATGAGCCATGGACAAATAGGTAAGTCCCTTTTGTGTGGATCGATCGTTTTAGTGAAAATATCTGTTCTTTTCCGGACAGTTATGCTGGAGACAACATCAATCTCTATATCGTTGCTGTTCACGAGATTGGACATGTTCTCGGCGTAGAGCATCAATTTGAACAAACTTCGATAATGTATCCCAGGTATCAGCTAATAAAAAAAACAAATATTTTGCCGCAGTTCGATCGAATTATAATTCAGCAAAAGTATGGATGGACCTCTAAAACAACTAAATCAGTTACAACGAAGAAAACAACTCAATTGAAGCACATAATAAAAAATACTCCACCGACACGCATAACAAAAACCACGACCAAAATAAGAACGACCACTCGATCCACTAAGACTTCTTCATCAATAAACAAGTTCTCTTGTCAGCAATTCATCGATGCAGGATTCGACTTTCCAGACAAAACATTTCATGCGTTGGATACCGGAATGCTTAGGCGCTATTTAACCAATAAGAAAAAGTGGGACACACAGGTTACACCCTACGAACGTATTTACCATCGTTTACCGAATCGAATATCTGGCGGTACTTACGATTTCGTCACTCACGAGGTTCTCATTTTTACTAGTGCACGCGTTTATCGATACAAAATTCAGCCAAGTTCCTATCAAATTAAGTATCACCGTGATGATCCTCTGCCAGTTCATTTACAAAGTGTAATTGTCGGTGCCATTTACTATCAGGATGGAGTTCATGTTATTAAAGTGAACAGCTTACAATCATTCGACATAGAGCATTTGCAGAGAAAATCAACCGAAAGAAAACTCAGCAAAGAATTTCCGGGCTTGTCTGGTTCGATTAGAGCGGCGTTCACGTCTGGTTATATGCATTATTTCTTCACCCGTGATCGACTAGTCTATGTATGGGATGAACAATTCAATCAATGGAAAATATTCGCTAAGCCGATGTCAAAAAATTGGTTTGGATGTATGTAAAAAAAGTGACACGACGAAAAAGAAAATTAAATTGTCTATTCTACAAGAACAATGAATCGAAAATATGGGATGCAACAAGACAATGTTCTTTTTTTCTCATTCGCTTACATCGATATCAGTCCACACGAAGTCGAGTGAATGATAAAAAGACTAGAAGAATAAAAGAAATGATTAGTAATCTCTCAATGCTTATAAAGAACAGCATTAACTTTCACACTTTTTAGGAGTAGAAGTATCCTCCTCTTTTCATAAAAACTATAACTTTGATGTCGGTAGATCTGTTCAGATCGAAGTTTGACGCAAAACGAATTCTGACGAAGTTCTAATATGATTTCAATAAGTAGACAGAGAATGATAAGCACAGCTGCCTAATTATCGATTTTCTGCTCTTTTTGTAGTTGTAATGGAGTATTGGAAAAGTTGTACAAGTCAGTTTCTTCCGTGGTTATAAGATATCCTTACCTATACTACAAAGATATATAAAAGAGTCATTTTATGCCGTATTCAATTTTATATCACTTAATTTTAATTATGTCAACCTTATATGAACGATAGTATTATATTAATTAGTTAAACACAGTAGACGTATACATAATATCAATGAATCTAAATAACACTTCCTTCGAAAATATTCATTAAACATAAAAATTATCTTACATATTACAAAGGAATCAAATCCTAGTATACATGATAGATGATGAAACATAGAACTTGATTGAGTAATACATGTACTCGTAGAAAATCAATTTATAACTCAACTATTCAATTACGACTGAAAATAATAGAACAAGAGTATGGAAAGTCTTTTTTTTTAACTAAAGTAAAATAGTATAAGCACATTTGTTTTTTGAAAATTTTCTTTAGTCAACCATAATACTTAATTGTCTTCTTTGTATATCGATATTTCTTTTGATTTTTTTAGCAGTTAAAAAGAACTTCGAGTATATTTTAAACGAATAGATTTATTTAGAAGGTGACTCAAAACTTAACTCTTAAAATACAAAAATCCCCAACACGTCTATTAGTAATTTAATACAAGGAGAAAGTCATTTATCAGAAAATGTATACCTTTTTTTTCTATCAACTACATCATGTTGTGTGCTAATTACAAAGTACTTGGAGTATATAAGAAATGCTATTTCGTTAACAATTTACAGAAACTTGTGACATCATAGCCTCTTAAATGAACCTAGTCAAGTATTTCTTGATTTAAGAAGATTTTCTGCAAATTGAAAATCTCCAACGTCTGTCATCCACATAGTTGACATCAACACTAGCGACCTAGATTTTAAGATATTTTTACTAACACTTCTGACTAACGCTTTCTTTTACTGTGTATTTATGGTTGCGATAGAAAATAACAAAAAAACGTGGTATCACTTGGTTGTTTCTCTTTTTTCTGTCGCTTATTCTCTCATTGGACAGATAACAATGACGTGGCAAGAACACGCTCGAGCTCTCTATCGTTATCGCTCTACACATATAAATATCACTATTTATTCATATACGACACGTTGTCGTTGCACATTGTTTCTTTTTTTCTTCATACACAAACACGCACATCCAAATGTCGACATACAGACTATACTATTTCGACGGTCGTGGTCGTGCTGAAATCTCTCGTCTTATTTTGGTTGCTGCTGGACAAGTATTTGAAGATGTACGATATTCCGAAAAAGAATGGCCATCTCATAAGTCAGAAATGCCTCTCGGTCAGATGCCAGTACTTGAAATTGATGGTGTCAAAATACCACAATCAATGACTATTGCTCGATTTCTTGCTCGTCAATTTCATTTGGCAGGCAAAGATAATTGGGAACAAGCAAAAGTCGAAGCCGTTGCTGATACAGCTACAGATCTTCTTAATAAATTCGGACCAATTATTTGGTATGAAAAAGAACCTCAGAAAAAAGAAAGTATAGACAAATTCTTCGCTAACGAATTACCGAAGCATTTATGTAATCTCGAAACCTTGGCCAAAGCCTACAGTGAAGGTGGTTCATTCTTTGTCGGCAATCATCTGACTTTCGCTGATTTGCATGTATACGATGTGCTAGAAAATATTCTAGAAATTGATGCGAATTTATTGGACCAATATCCATGGTTGAAGACTAACCGTCAAGAAGTTGTCAAACATCCGAACATTGCTGCCTATCTCAAAAATCGACCACGAACCGAATTTTAAATGAGCTATCTGGTTCCGACAAATGAACATCATTATTGAAATAGCATTTTTTTCTGTTTATTCAACTTCATCTTTAGTAACGAGAAATAAAAAAACTTTTTAGCTATATTGAGAGATGTTGTATTTTATCAATTAAGACCAATCATCATCAGATCATAAACGAAGTGAAAAGCATACAATGCAAATAGTAATTATTAATCTGTTCACATGAAGAATTGACAGAAGGTAACTAAGCGTTTATGAGAAGAAAATATTCATTTTTAATCGAAATCATCTGGTGTAATTATTAGTACATGTGTAATGTCAATAACTATAACCCTCCTTGCTCGAACCCACTTGACCTTCAACTGACTTTGATCTAAACATCATCTGTTATCGCTTGTTGCGTTCTCCTTTGAGAATTATCATTGAACATGTAGACAACCACAAAATCTGTTTATAATACTGTTGGTTACGACTATTTTGTACACAGACCGAAACTGTCTATTTCCTGTTGAAATTTTCTAAAATGAATCTCAGTACACTGTTCGCAGTGGAGCATCACTTACGAGTGCTCAATTTCGTTCATGATCGGTTGTAATTTATACCAGTAGTTTATTTTCTTGTTCAGAATATCTTTTAGTAATATCAAAGAAACCTATCAAAATGGGCTTTTGATACCCATATTGAGAGTCAACTGTCTGTAAGCAGCGGAAACCTAATTATACTTTTGGTTTATCATACTTCCGATAGACTTACTAAATAATTAATATATAGATAAAACTTATCATGTGGATTTACTGATCCTCTTCTAAACTATAACTATGATGTTACTATACTTTAAGAAAATTTATCGGTATATTCTCGTTATATTTGTTCGATCGATAGTATTTCTGATATTCTCACTCACAAGCCCTATTTTCTTTATAGTTTTTTTTTTGTAAGGTCTTTCTCTGTCTGAAACTAAAAGCTTAACTTCAAATCAACCATGATGACTATTCTTGGTTCGCAATTCATTATTGCTATGTGTTGGATCTATTATAAACAGGGTGGATGCCAGCTAACTAAACCAAGCTGGATTGGTGAAAGTGAACCACCAACAACTATTGCTTGCCGAAGTAGATGTTTACCAAAAACTTTGTTTTCTATATTCTTTACATCAAATGGTGCTTTTCTTATATATAGTGTAGGTCAATGCAAGACCATAGATCACAACTATTATATTCAAAACTGTCTGAGGTTGAACACAAAAAAGGTATTAGTATAATGTTGCATGCGCCGTTTCCCATCAGTAAACGGTGAAAAAGTAGTAATATTACGGCAGTAAACTAAGCATATTTTTTCGTACCATTAGACAAAGTAATATGACACCGCATACGGTCATATATGTATCGCAATCTCACTTCAATACAGTCGTATTTCTGCGTAAAGTATTTATAATGATATACAACTAATTTGCATATCGTATTTTTACCCTAAAAAGGCAGTAGACGAACTGTATCTTTGCACTGGGAAGATCAAACAAAAATGAAACCTCATTGGCTGGTGCTGTTTCCAAGTTAAGATGGCCCTTATTTCGAACATTTGATAAAATAAAATCAAAAATATCTCTTTATCTTTATATTTTTATGTAATGTTGTCAGTTTGTTTAGGCAACCATAAGTAATATTTCTACTTAGCAATATTACACACAAAGTTCAGAATAAGAGGCAATGTAAGAATGAAGCATATCATGGAGAGTCATAAAGATTTATAATTGCACCTGATATGATGTAAATAACAATTGTGACCATTTGAATCAAAATCATTTGAGTTACATGTTGTGTAAGATTATTTGAGTTTTGATTCTATAATTTGACGCTCACGGGTCTGT